GTCAGGTATTACATCTCCTTTCCAGCATGTGCAGAATCCTGCTGGCTGCTTTCCAGACACAATGATATAACAACTAGATATCTTTAAGGTCCTTTCCAACCCAAACCTTTCTACGATTCTGTGATTCTATCTCAGCCAAGTCAGGAGGGCCAAGAGCTGGAGTCAGCCAAACAGAACAGGAGAAGTGAAGAGGGAAAGCTAAAGGCAGGATCCCCAGGGAGGCAGGAATACAGGCAGGACACCCGCTCCAGCTTTGTCAGGTGAGCTGTGTGACCCTAGACACGTCTGCCTGCATGTGTGAATGTGTGTTGTGCTTGGCACCACTGCATGGCACAAGTGGAGGGCCCACTGGGATGGGCAGAGCCCTCAGGTTCATGGTGGGCTCCTGCATGGCCAAGGAGATGGCACAGCCTGTGCCCGACATCATCCCATATGCAAGGTTCCATGCCCCGCTCCATGCATTCCTCTCCCATACCTCACCAGGGAGTGACTTGTCCTTGCCTGGACCCTGGGACCTCCACACACACCCCTGTGCAGCTTCCCCTGGGGCTGAGTTTGGAGATGAGGATGGGGATGGGGATGGGGATGGGGACAGGGATAATCACGGGGACAGGACTGAGGACACAGTCAGGGCTGACTGGAGCTGCCCCTGACATGGCCCACCCTGGGGGTCTCGTGTCTGGGTTCCAGTCTCCCCAGGCTGAGGGCTGTGTTTGGGTTTCACTCCTGTCCCACAGGAGCTCCTGCACCCCAAACTGCCCTGTGGTCGCTGCAGGGACAGACAGAAGGACAAGGAGTCACGAGGACAGGGCAAGGGTATGTGTGCAGGGAAGGATGGTGACCTGCAGGGGCTCCAGGGATTTGGCAGATGAAGGAAGCGAACCTGCCCCAACAGCAACAGGAAGACCCCTGGGCATTGCAGGACAGAAGTGGGCAGCGTTGGCCACATGCGCCAGGCAGGAGCAAAGGGCCAGCATCCGTCCAGACAGGATCAGGCCAGGGTGGGCTGCTGCTGCACAGGGGCGGGATAGCTGCTGAAGGATCAAGGGTGAGGCCATATGGGAAGTGGGGCTGGGATGGGGGACCTTTGGGGCAGCTGACAAGCATGGCTTGGGGGGTAGGAATGATGACAGTGTCTCTGCTGGCTTCCTGTGAACCCTGTGCTTTTTCTTTCTGTTTCTGTTCCCCTGTTCAGCAGTCAGGCTGATTGCATCATGTCCCCTCCCATGGGGTCCCAACAGACAGGTAATTTACAGCTGTAGGGTGATGAAAGAACAGAAATGAAGTCTTACTCCCTGTGGGCCCCACAATGGCTCTTGGTGACCCCACATCCCCTGATGGGCTCCCCCCACCAGGCCTCCCAGCCTCATCCTCCCACTCCCACTAGGGCCCCGAGACTTTAACCTCACAGACTGCTTGGAGACGCCTTTGGGGACCCACTCATGATGCTGGGGACAGCCACAGCAGGCGTTTGGGGAGGGTGAGCGTGAGAACGAGCACAGGGCAGTCAGGGCAGTGCCAAGGGTGACGGTCCGAACGGGGCTGAGCAGAGGGGCTGCCTGTGAATGCAGGGGTGGGGATGAGGGTGCAGGGGACAGGATGCAGGAGTGCGTTTGGTTGATTGGATTTGATTGAAATCTGAACCACTGGGCATGTCAGCCAGGTGGGCTTGGTGGATGAGGATACAGTGGTGAGGATGAGGGTGCAGGGGTGGGGATAAGCATGCAGGGGACAGGATGCAGGAGTGGCTTTTGATCGAGATCTGAACCACCGGGCATGTCAACCAGGTGGGCTTGGCCAATACAGGCATACCCTGGACAGGGTCTGGTCTGTGCCCTCTCCAGGAGCTGTGCAGCCTGAGAGCGGCCCCACAGCTCAGCAAGGAAGGAGGGAGAGGAGCAGAGGCTGAGGAAGGCTGGGGAAGGGCAGGCACACCATAAGAGAAAGGGGAGGTGGAAAGGTCCTGACAATTTTCTGGGACACTGTGTGTGGCACCATCCGACAGTCTCCTTGCCCAGCAGCCCTGCAGCTCCCAGGCAGCACTCTGAGCCTTTCACACCTCTCCCTGCCTGCATGGCTTCTCCCAGGGTCGCGCAGGGGCACCTGAGTTAGGAGCTGCATGTTATGGATTAGGGAATTTGTGAGTTAGAAATCTGAGGAGTTGCCAAATAATAAATTAGTGAGTTCATGTGTTACACGGGTCCGTGCAAAGGGCATTGGGCCCTTCTTTGACAGGCTTGTTTTCTAAGAAGATGATAGAGTTTAATGTACAGACAATGTGGTCATGGGAATTTGAGTGATGGAAAGGAGTCATATCCTGTTCCACCTACTGGTTGACAGGGCAACAGCCAGTTATGGGAAAATACATGCATATGTGCATATATACAGCAAGGATCCCTTCAGTATCTGGCTTGTGAGTGATGGAAAGGAGTCATATCCTCTTCTACCTACTGGTTGATAGGGCAACAGCCAGTTACTGGGAAATAGGTGCATATGTGCATATATACAGCAGGGATCCCTTCAGCATCTGACCTGAGC